GGGACACAACTCACTGCCCGCACCGAATCCACAAGCAACGTTCACAAGAGTTCACAGTCCAAATTTCACATCCAGTATAGAGTTTTGTCGAACAGACAATTCTAACTCACCGACCTTACTCCTTACTGAATGGTCAATCTGAATCGAATCCGAATCGCAGCTCCCTCTCAGAATAGTCCGAGTCGAAACTGATGAACTCAATCAATGGAATGATTATCACGCATTTTCTGCAACGCACACTCTTCACATCACTTTTCACCATCACGCGCGCTAACCAATCAAATTCCTCCAAACGTTCGCATTTATACTGCGCTCACTGCTAGCCCCCATCTACATCATCACGCACACTAGCCAATCAGCACCCTGAAAATTCTTGCTCCTCAATTTCAAGTTTCGCTTCGCCCACCGAGCAGTGTATAAAAAGGAGCAGCCGCAACCCAACAGCATCAGTCTATGATCAAGCCACACCAAGCAACATCAGTCAGCAGGCTTCGTCGCCAGCCCTCGGTCTTCGAAGGCATCGGCAGGCTGCGCCAGGCACGACTGCCTCGGCCCTCCAGCTCTCTCACCCAACTCACAGGGGCACCTCTCCTGGACTCGCCAGTGGTCGTGTCCCTGTCCGAAACACTGGGCATCTGGTGTAGCCACTGCCTCATCACTCCTACGACCGCGCCGTGCTAGTCACACAACTCCAACTCACCTGCCGCACGGCGATCAAGCAACCTCCAGCAGCGGCCGCGCTGTGGCCAGTCAAATCACCACAACTAACCTCTCTCCCTACCGGCGCACGCCGTGCTACCTCACCGGTCAAGCCTCTCAGCAACCAATGTCCTTTTCAGGACCAACAAACTGTTCCGAAGAAGTGGGTTGTCATCGGAGAAATGACGAACAACAAAGGCAAAACCCCACAAAAGAAACTCATGATAGTTAACATATGAATATTCATATTAAAGAACAATTTCATTTTGTCTCAGTGTAAAATATTTTATTAAGAACTAAAAAACAATTCCAAAAAATAATAATCACTGTTTTCTGTAGAATTATCAAGTGACAACTTACCCCAAGACTAATGCCCAACATATTTACCTTAGTTGTATATACATTTAGAAATAAACAATCTTCTGAGGTTGGAACAAAGTAGTTTTCTTCTGCTTGAGGACATGCAGCACCATCTTCAGTTGCATTCTGGATTCCCTGCCACCGGCCTATTGGTAGAGGGGCCTATGTAAATAATGAGAAAGCAATAACCTTCCAATGCACTATGTCTGATAAACTTTTGGAAATATATTTCATTTACATGCCCACAATTACAACAGAATCTATTTAATTAACGCATAAATTAACTGGGTAATTTACTCATTTCTGTATGCTTCTAGCCCAATCTTACACTTTGTATAATTTCTTGCAATAGTGCAAGTGACAAGGACCCCAAGTCAGAACTCTTGTCAGACCATGATTTCAACGCCACAGAACAAAGAATCCATTTGCAAGCTTGCAGCTTTCAAATCAGAAACCAGAATTTCTATTGGAAGATTGTTCGCAAACAAAAGAAGTATACTTGTACATCTGGCAAAACGTTCGTCCAATACATGGTTCAGCCAACGCTGTTTCAAGGCCGAAAGCATTGAGTGCTGATAAAAGGGGTCATTATATAGGGGCCGGACTGTAGTTGCTTTATTTTGTATCATTTAAATAATGTCCTCAGGCCACAACCACCTATTTATATGATATAACTTTTGCGTCATCGCTGACAGTAAATATTACCAGAGATTGGAACTCTCCACTAAAATAAGTCGAAAAGACACACGATACTACCTAAGAAAGTATGTTCATTATTGTGTTTTGGTAAAGAAAAACAACAGACAATATCTTTCGATTAAATATGCTATGGAATAAAACCAAATCTCACATCAATTTTCTTTCGCTTAGGTCGTTTATCCAAGGAATCCATGTCTGAGTTTTCTTATGATCTTTTGTAACAAGTTTGTTTTTTACAGTGAGGTGTTACTAGCCCCATGCTCAACCGCTAAACTGGACGACCACCCATTGTTGGCTGTATGAGACTGCTTATTCAATATATTGCCAGCTACCCTCCATACCTGGAGGGCGTCCCCTCCATCCGCAACCTGAGGACGCGCCATGCCGTGGTGACAAAGAACCCACCTAACATGGTTTGGCGAAGGATGCCCAAAATTATTGGACCAAACGAGACAAGCCAAATTTCTGTGGTTACATAATCCAGGTTAAATAAATGGGGATAATTTGAACAATATAAGACGTGAAACAAGGAGGCATTTCGGGAATAAAAAGATGGAATATCTGAAAAAGAAAATTGATGGGTTTGCAATGAACAGTAAGAACGAGAACATTAGAGACCTGTATAGAGGAATAAATTACTTTTAGAGGGGTTACCAGCCTAGCAGTAACATAGTGAAGGATGAGAACGGTGATCTGCTTGCAGATTCCCACAATATTTTGAATATGTGGAACAACTACTTCCCTCAGTTATTGAATGTACACAGTTCAATGATATTAGTCAGAGAGAAATACATACAGTTGAGTAGTGAGTACCCGTTCCTAGCACCTTTGAAGTTGAAATTGCTATTGCGAATTGAAAAAGTATAAATTGCCAGGTAATGATCAAATTATGAGAGATCTGATTCAAGCAGGAGGTGAAATATTCGTATGTTCTAAGATCCATAAGCTAATTAATTCTATTTGGAATAAAGAAGAATTGCCTGATCAGCAGAAGGAGTGTATTATTTTCCCATTTCACAAGAAGGGTTGTAAACCTGGCTGTAATAATTATCATGAGATATCACTGCTTTCAACTTCATATACAATTTTATCCAATATTGTTCTTACAAGGTTAAGTCCATACATAGATTAAATTATTGGGGATCATCACTGTGGGTTTCGACATAACAGATCAGATCTTTTGCATTCATAAGATACTGGAGTAGAAATGGGAGTACAATGAGACAGTACATCAGCTATTAATGTGTTGATCCAAATCGTATAGTAAAGTTTGTATAGGTAAACATTTGTCTGATAATTTTCCTATCCAGAATGGTCTAAAACAAGGAGATGCTTTATTACCACTGTTTTCAACTTTGCTTTAGAATATGCCATTAGAATGGTCCAGGGAAACCAGGTGGGACTGAAATAAAATGGGATACATCAGCTGTTGGTCTCTGCTGATGATGTGAATTTACTGGGTGATAATACAGATACCATAAAGAGAAATACACAAACTTTAATTGACAGTAGTGAGGAGATTTGTCTACAAGTAAACACAGTGAAAACTGAGTTTATGTTGCTATCTCATCACCAGAATGCAGGGAACATCTATGAACAACGATAAGTAACAGAAGTTTGAAAATGTGGCACAGTTCAGATATTTGGGAATGACAATAACAAATCAAAAGCTGATTCAAAAGGAAATTAAGAGGAGATTGAATTTGGGAAATGCTTGCTACTGTTCAGTCCAAAACCGTTTGTCCTCTTCCCTGCTGTTTAAAAGACATAACAATTAGAATATACAAAACTATAATTTTGCTTATGGTCTGTATGGGTGTGAAACCTGGTCTCTGACTTTAAGAGAGGAAGGTAGAGTGAGGGTGTTCGAGAATAGTGTGCTGAGGAGCATATTTTGACCAAAGAGTGATGAAGTGGCAGGAGGTTGGGGAAAACTGCATAATGAGGAGCTTCATAACTTGTACTCTTCTCCAAGTATAATTAGAATGATCAAGTCAAGGAGGATGAGATGGACAGGGAAAGTAGCATGAATGGGGAGAGGAGGAATGAATACAGGATACTGGTGGGAAAGCCAGAAGGAAGGAGACCACTAGGAAGACCAAAATATAGGTGGGTTAACAATATTAAAATGGATCTTAAAGAGACAGGATGGGATGATATGGATTGGATAGATCTGGCTAGAGATAGGGACCAGTGGAGGGCTCTTGTGAACATGGTAATGTTTCTTCAAATTCCATGAAACGGTGGGAAGTTCTTGAGTAGCTGCACAATTGACGGCTTCTGAAGAAGTGCTCATCTCCATGAGAGTGAAGGAATAAAACCATGGGCGTCCTTACCTTAAATCTCAGATTTCCTACAGGTGGCTTAGCGAAACGAACTCCTCGGAAGGAATATATGGGCCTTCCGAGACGAGACTGAATGACACTNCTGCTCTACATTTCCCTCTCCCCAACAGCCATGCATACCTTGAGAGCTAGTGAAAAGATTTTAGCAGTAATTTGTAATTCGTGGTTAGAGTACAGAATAATTTGTGGCCTATATTGTAGGGTTTTCTCTATGCGGCGAGTCTAGGTCAAATATATCTCTCGCCAAAATATTTACAGGGGAAAGGGGCGGGTTCAATTATAGTTAAATAAACCAAGAATGTACGGATGAAAAACTAATTAAATGAAATACAAGGAAATAATTTCTGACACTAGTGAGCAAGCCTATGCATGCAACTCGAGCAATATATTTACAAAGTAATTGAACTGACTATTGGTGTTCGTTTTTAATCTTTCTCTTCTTGAAAATGGAAGAGAATTTATTAACACCGTCTTCTGGGATGTGACATTATGTAGTGTGATAAATGTTTACAGGGGTCTCGGAGAAACACGCTGCCTCCATCGTCAGGATCTTGATGTCCATAAAATGACGTAACAGGGCTCGACAGCATAACGCAGTCAATGCCGGTTTCCGGCTTACTTTTCTAGCGTGAAATGGTGGCAGGGGGTTGCTGCGAGACCTTGTAAAATATCTGTCAGTCGACATGCCTTAACATCCCAGAAGCCATTACCCTTCTTGGATACCGCCGTGAGAATCCAAATTGTCACGAGTAAAATTAATTCTGTTTATTTAAATATGTTACAGGCGATCGGAGTGGCGGTTCGGTATAAGGCACGTAATGTCCTCAAGCGGGGTAATTCCGTCATCATACGATTTACGAGCCTCTCTGCGTGCCGGCCGGACTGGTTTGCAGGTAAGAGGTCACCGACCTACTTCCTACCAGGCAGTTGAAGTCGTGTTGCGTGAATTCACGTGAGGAGTTTCCATATGCGGCAAGATAAGGATATTGCAAATGTATTAATTCCAGTAAGCGAACAAGGAAGTTCCATCACTCATACTTTCCAAGAACGCCGATTCCTACAAGAGAACTGCATTTCTATAAGCAAGCCCTTGACAGCTCCACTACAAAAGAAGATTGCTAAGTACAGTGTACATTAGAAAGCACATTCCACAGAAGGAATAATACGTGGCACGATAGCACCATGCTCTAAAACTTACCCATAAGAAAATATAATGTACATAATGTAAGAAAATGGAGTGATATTCAATAATTCAGAAGTGTTTTATCCTAGAAAATGAAAATGATTTTGACTCAACATTTTATGGTATACAGAAAAAAGGGATGATTATATTAAATATGAGTATTTGAAGACAGAAAAAAATATGTCTTTTTCCCCTCTATATGCCTGATTTCATTCAGTTTAATCACGGATATACAGACACATTTAAAACTTGGGAATAATTACATTTGGAGACAAAAAGAATAAGAAATAAGACGACGAAATATTAAATTCTTATGGAACATTTTACTCTTAGCTGACACATATTGAAACTTCCGTGAGTTATTATAAGTATGTAGTTGATAAGTTGTAGTATTTAGACGTGACGGACGTGACAGTCCTCCGACGCGGAGTAAGAGAAGTAATTGTACAGACCGGTGAGCTCCAGCATGCCGACAAGTGTGGAGGGGAATGCGGTACAGGCGCTCTCAGAGGGAAATAACTTCTTACCCCATTGTGTTGCATAGTGTTGGTGGTTAAGTCTCGATGATGTTCACACATCTGATGTTAAGTTTTAAGTGCCGAATGGCAGACTATTATGCACTATACACTATCACACACTCTTCGCTGTTATATACACGAAGGGTTTATTTACATATTACACAAGCGGCCTCCGTAGTCTAGAGGTAATGTTCCCACCTCATGACTCGTAGTACGCGGGTTCAAATACCCAGCGGAGGTCGTCGAATTTTTAAGGGCGGAAAAATTCAGGGAACAAGTCCTCCGGGAGCGACTTTAAGCCGTGGGTCCCGTGTCGTAGCTTTACGGCACATAAAAGAACCTCATATCTCCAAAAGAGGTCACCGAGTCAAATTAACGGACGTTTCCCGCCCAACAGCAGTCTCTAATACCTCTGGTAGATGGGGGAAGCATTATAGATACCTCTCAGCTAGTAGAGCCGGTCTCGCTGGGTGAGTGGGTGGGACCGATGGTAAACACCAGTACCGGTAGGATATAGAGACTGGTAGAAATCATAGAGGGAAGCACAATGGACCAATACAGGTCTCAGTGCATGGGGAAACCCACCCTCTCCAATAACTAACTACATATTACACGGGTCAATTCTAAAGGGGCAAAACCGGCAGTGTCCGCATAGATATCATCTCCATATGCCTGTCCTTCCTCGTCACCACCAGATGAATCGGAGCTATCATCAGAACCGTCATCATCACTATCACTGCCAACATGGAAGACGAACACCCGTCCTGCATCCAAAAGGCCTTCCCGTGCCATTAATTGTTGCTCAATGTTCCTTACATGTTGGCACCTACGTTGCCATTCTTCTGCAGCTATGGAAGCCAATTTTCGGTCTGCCAGTTTAATGACGTCATCCATCTGAAATGTGGTATTGTTTTGAGCAACCCAATTTTTTACGGTGGCCCATATTAACTCAATCGGGTTAAGTTCTTGGCGATACGGAGGGAGTCGTAAAATATTGTGCAAAGATTCCATCTATTTTATAGGAAAGGTATTTCGGTTTGAGTGGTAGGATCATATTATGTCTGGATTCCGCAATGATGAAAAATCAGTGTTATTGAAGGTAATAGGTGGAAGGTGATATTTTAGCCAGGATATCATAAAATCTCTTCTTGAATTTGAGTTAGGGGCTCTGTTTAGTTGTGCATTATGGTAGGGAGCATTATGAATGACAAGGACAGAATTTTGGGGAAGGTTAGGAATAAGTCGCTCCTTTAACCATTTTTCATAATTGGTGTATTTTATGTCACTGTGGTAGTCTCCTGTTTTTTCTTTTTGTGGGATTTGAAGCGGACATAGGCATTAGGGATGAAACCTTGCTCTCCCCCTGCATGGATAACAATGAGCCGTTGGCCTTTGGACACAGGGGAAAATAATCCCTGGATGAATCCATCACTCCATGCATACGGGGTGGTGTGCGATGAATGAATATAGGTTTCATCCATGTAGATGATTGGGTGCCCTCTTCGCTATATTCTTTAATTTCCCGCAAATACTGAAGACGTTTAGCTCTGATATTATATCGTTCCACCAGTATCTGCCGATTATTTTTTGTTTTCTTCCAGTGGAACCCCAGTTTCAAGATAGTTTTCTTTAAAGTGAAGATGCATCCTTGAAAACCTAACGTTTTCTTCAAATTTTCGTGAACTTCTTTCAGGGTAGGTCTCCGTTTTTTGACTATGTATTAGTCATTAATTGTTCTTCGCACCACAGACTCGTTAAAGTCGTCCAAAGTGGCTAGTGGAGATTTCCTAGGTCTTTCTTTATGGGGTGTCGAAAAGGAAGTGGAAGCCCCGGATTCGATATTTTTTTTCACTTATTATTCTTCTGACACTGCTTTCCAATACACCTGTTGCCTTTGCTACTTCCACTCTTGTGTTCTTCACTGTAATTGTTGGCCCAGCCTCTTACATATATGTACTTATATACATTACTAACAATTTATCTTGATTGTGAATGCAACACTTTTCCACTCAATTTACTTCGTGTAGGTGGCATGTTAAAGGAGATAGAAAAAATGTACAGGTATAAATAAACAAAAAAGAAAATCAACGAATAAAAATAAACAATAAAATAAATTATTAATACAGTAAATAGAGTGTTAGCTGACCTGTTACCGTAGCAGCGGCAGCGCTCCAAAACTGTTACGCCACCACTGGCGGGGAAGGGGTGTCACACTACACTAAAATACGACTCCAAGAGTCAAAATTTTTAACTTGACTGTACAAGGAAGAATGCTTTCATCTAAGTTTGAGACGTGTGGTCGCACTGAATACAGACGAATGACTAATCGCAACACCCCTCAACTTTCACGAATGGACCTGCCCATTCACTGCGCAGCTTTTCCTGGACTGTCACTTCTAAATACTACATTAGGCTTATTGAGTGAAGAAACAATCAATATCAAGCACTATTACACGCTTCCAGAACAGTATAGGAAACCTGCTTCTTTAAACTTTAAGTTCGTAATAGGTTGTAAAATAAAATAAATGTGATTTCAACGCAGTCGAAACACCCTTAAGACGTTTTTTTTTTGTTTTTTTTTTTTTTAAGAGAATTGCCTTCTGAGATATGTCGCGTGATCTTGTAGATGTTTGCAGCCGACTCGGAGGAATGTGTTGCCTCCGGTTGCAGAGTCAAAGAGTAAATTAAGAAACCAACAAACCTGCCTTACTTTGCGACCCTGAAATTGGAGGTAGTATATTCCTCCAGAACAGAAGTGAACATCTGCCAGAGAGCGAAAACATCATAAAGTAATATCCAGAAGATGACAGGTTATAATCTCAGCAGGGACACCGGCTATCCTGACTGAGACTTCTCGTGCGATTTCTGAGTCCCTCCAGGAAAATATTGGGATTATGCTGCTTAAAGCGTCGAAAGTAGTACTCTACATAGTCACCAACTTGAAACCCTCAGATATCATTTTTTTTTCCTTCTCTTAATTGTTATCTTCTGCTGAAGTAATTGAACATTTGTTTCCATGTACCAAGAGCTGTCATGAAAGAGAATGAAGGACCTTCTTTCTTTCTTGTCCGATTTTAAATAAAATTAGATTGTGTCGATACATTTTATTCTAACTTCCCATACTGAATTTAATGAAAATCTGTTCAGTTCTTCTAGAGTTATTTTATACATACAGACAGCCAGAAGAAACTAATATGACCTCTGCAACGTCAAGCCCAAATAACCCTACACAGATGACATTGGAAAGCAAGAGTAACTCTGCTGGAACAAAAAGTATCGTCTTTCTTGGAACCCAAAGTTCATTGGCATGCTCACAAGGACCCATCATTGATTCTAGTCTGAGCCAGGTTCATTTGGTCCACATCCTCGCTCCCTGCTTCTCCACATTACATTCTAATATCATTCTCCCATCTACAAATTGTCTTCAATATGGACTCTCCCTTTAGGATATCTGGTTAAATTTCTGTATGTATTTCTCATTTCTTCCATACACTCTTTCCAAGCACCACCGCGCAAACATTAGCACTACAAACCAACACAGCTGAAACAGTCCAATAATCAATAAAACAGTCTACAATCAAATATATATGTTCTTACTGATAGTATTACGATATGACAAGTCCTGTATCAACGTATTTTGATTTATGGGAAAATAAAACACAGAAAGGAAGTATGCTGTAAGTCAGGCATGTCAAACTCAACTTGTACAGAGGGCCACCTCAGCCCTACAAATAATAGTCCAGGGCCGCACTTCAAAATAGAAATATACATTAGATTTTGATACAAGGAAATATAATTCTATTTATTATTTAGGAATAATTTCAATATAATTACCTAAAGTCACATATCTGATGAAATAATGTTAGGAAAGGTGGATGATTTAAGATACACTGTCCGTGTGTGTAGAACATAGTGCTTTTACAAGTCTTCCATTTATTAGAGAGCGGAAATGAATATATAAAAAAAACAATAAGCATAAATGTT